AAAAACTTTAATTTAGTAATATTAATTCTATTTTATAACATCGTATACTATATATACGATACACACGTGTAACGCACGTACCGTAAAACTAGTATATATATATATATATCTTATTTTATATTAAAAGTTAAAATCATTTTAATCAACACCATTTCATATTTCTAATGTTAATAATATTTGTAGGTATTTATTTTATACTTAATGAGATAGTTTAGTTACATAAATATAGCTTATTGTAGATAAAATAATTTACTATCACACAAATATATATAACTTATTTTAGATTAAAATTTAAAATTATTTTAATCAAGACCTTGTAAGTATTCATTTCACATTTAATGAGATGATTTACTATCATATATACACAAATATATAAGTTATTTTGAATTAAAAAATTAAAATTATTTAATCAAAACTACTTTAAAAGATAACTTGGTAAATAAATATCGGACCCGTGTGAAGCATGAAATTCTTGCCACCAGTTATATATTCAATATTAGACGAAGTAAGAGAGGCGTCAATACAAGTTTTTGCATGGATCGTTTTTATATTTGGTGATTTTCAAATTTTGTCTTTAAATTAAATGAGTTTTAATCTTCAATCTTGTTGATCATTTAATTAAAAATTGTAGATCAAAATAATCTTACGGATAAGTTTAAGAATTTTCTTCTCACTTAATATAGATTATATAGGAATAAAATTATGGATAAGTTTTGTAGTATTTTTTTTAAAATTTTCTTGCAGTTTCAAAAATTGAATTATAATTCATGGAGGCATGCAAAGATTTTTTTTAAAAAAAATCAGAGAGATGATGTTATTATGATAATAATCAATTTAAAATTTTCAAATACAAATGTAATACACACTGATGATGAGCCTTCTGCTTTAAAAAAATTACAAATACAATATAATAAATTGCACCTTCAATATGTAGGGGAATTAATTAACTATCAGTTGCCTCCATTTTTATCTGCATACTTTTGAAGATTTTCTCCATGCAACTTCCCATACCTAAACTCATCAAATATTTCGAGCCCCATATTTACGTAAAGAGCATATGCCTTCTTATTCCAAACTGCTACTATTTCCTCTAACGAAACGAACCCATTGTTGGCAGCAATGGATGAAACTGTTCCAAACAACAATTTCCCCATACCCAACTTTCTATAGCTTTCTCTTAAGTAAAGACTCTCCAAATATAATCCAGGCTTGTCATTGAAGCATGAATAATTAGCGTAAAAGAAAACATATCCCGCGATGTAAACATCACTCTTATCATCATATTTTGATCGGAACTCCTCAACTTGTCCTTCCACCACAGGGAATTTAAGGTCAAACGTTGTAAGGACAGGCTTGAACCCTCCGTTTGTTGTATTTTTGGGTTCTTTAAAAGGGGTGGGAGAGACTTCAAGTATAAGTATGGATGGCCCGTAGAAAAGTGGTAGAGGGTTTTCTTTAAAGAGCAAGTTAGCTAAGGAGGACTCAGTAGCTTTGTATAAATGAGTATAGTTATGGTATACATGTATTTGGTAAAACAATTGGTATATATGAGACAGATCAGACATTGTAGCGAGACGAACTCTTGTATATATCTTTCGAGTGATGGTAACGTTATTGTTTTCCGATGATGCATCGGTGATTATTGTTTCACATGGAGTAAGAAGTTGAAGAGCAGGAGCCATGGGATATTATATTGTTTAGTTAAGTTTGATCGAGGAATATTGAGGTTTAAGATAAAAGAAATGTTGAAAGGTTTAGTAATGGGATAATATTGTGTTTGGGATCATAATGGTTATTTATAGTGAAGAATTTGACCCTTTTTAAAATTTGGAATTTGCTCCGATTCCCTCTATTTTATTTTCAAATTTAGTAAAAAAAAATATTTCCTACAAATTTTAAAATCCATTAATTTGTATATTTTCCAGCTAGACATGGAGAGTTTAATTTTCTGTTTTTAGCCTTTTATAGGAGAGATTGACGTGATGTATTTTGGAGGTAAGGTTTGGTCCCCTCGTGTTCCACCTTTTTGATGGAATACAACACATTTAAAATTATAGAATATGAATCTAACAAGATTTTTATTTAACGTGACAAATAATAACCCTCAAAACATTTGCCGGTAAAAGAATATTTTCTTTTATTTCACGGAAAAAAAGAAGAAGATAAAAGAATATTCTTAAAAACATACTTCTTTCTTTTTCCCCTTCAAAATACATATGTAGCCACACTTTCTCCTTTTAACCTTGTGATAATTTTGGTATTTTATATTTGTAATTTTGATAATCTCTAAAAATTATTTTTTATTTCTTGTTCTTTATTTTTAGGTTTTTGTTCACATTGATAATCTTAACTTCTTTTATTTGTTTTCATTTCTCAACACATAGTATTTCAAAGACAAAATTTACTGTCATTTAGATATGTACTTGACAAAATTTTGGAGAAAACATAATGGAGAGGAGGTGGAGATGATTTTTCCAACGATAAAAAATTCTGGTAATCATCATTTCAAAAGTGATTTCTAAAGAGTTAAGTCATTCATATAATTGGTTTGAGTTATCCATCAAAATTTGGCCACCATTTTTTATGTAGTTGATAGTATTAACTATTCTTCTCATAATTTTTACATGATATTATATTATTTTTAGTTAGTTCCAAAAGAAAATGACGCATTGTAAAAGTAACTAATGTTATCAATATTTTAGTTATGTTGAGTTTCATTTATGGGTAAAAAAAAACCATAGAAGGGTACCCTTCTTGAGGAGATAGATTCGGAACATTGCAAAATCATCCCTTATTTCTTAAGTTTCGTGTCCATTATCCAATTAAACTATGTCACAAAAATTTGAACCGAGAAAATACTCTTTAATAATTAAAAAAGAAAAGAACCAAGTGGGTTTATAGGACCACGCAAAATATCATAAACATGTTATATAAACACTGTAGGAACAAACTGACAATTTCTTAACATAAAAATGTTGACTTTTTCATCAACTTCTTATCGTACAAACTACAAATGTAAACATCTACGAAGGAACCGATGATTCATCCCAAAAAAAAAATGTTGACAATTTTAGCAATATGGATAAAAATTCTATGAATTACATATGCGACTTGAGATTAAAGTCAAATAATCAAGTCGTTAACATTGTGGAACATGCTTTAGAGAAAAAATATTTTCCTTTTAAATGAACTTTATCGTGAATTTTCCATGATTCCGTAAGTGGAAATTAAGTCGATCACGCAAATAATTCATGAAACATGTGTTTCCCTAAATGGAAATTAAGTCCATCACGCAAATTTGTTGAATGTTGTAAGACAATGACAATCCTAGTTAGGGCGTCTATAGTACAGTTTAATCAGTTATTTTTCAAAAATTTATATCATATTAATTTTTGGTTATTTTATTTTGTATGATAAAAATTAGACTTTGTGAGATCGTCTCATCATATCGATTTTTCTATAATATCGATGTGGGTTCAATAATGTTCAGTATATTTAAAAAAAAACATTTTTTAGATATTTTTTAAAAAAAAACTCTCTAGATTATATTTTTTACTATTTAAAAGGTGGTGAATTTTGAAAAATGATAATAATAGTGATGCACAACGGGATAAAATATATTCCTAATATCTTATAACTCTCTACTCAAGATCGTTAATAACTTTTGTAGATTTTACACAAATTTCATAGTGTTAACAGCTAATTACATCTTATCCCTACTCTTTTTCAAATTACAAAAATCCCTTAAATTTGGTGGAATCCAGATATATTCGAAACCATCACGATACACTGTGTCCTGGTTTCAAATACATCCCTGATACATCGCGTCTCAATTTCAAATACATCACTCAACGTCATGATACATCACGTATGTCCCGATATATCGCGTAATGTAATATATCCGATTGATACATCACGTAAAGCAATGTATTCAACCAATACGTCACATAAAATAAAATTTTTTGTAATTTTTTTAAATGATAAGAATTTTAGAGAATATAGTAAAATAAATATTGTGTTTAGGTAATTTTTCCTTACTTGTAACCACTCAAGATGTGATGCAACTTATATTTGATTTCATCCTTCCAATAAGGCCCAAAATGAAAACTTTAATTTAATGCATCATTGGATATTATTCCTCTGGTCAGTTTGTTTAGCACAAATATGATTAGTCATGACAATAAACGTTGGAAACAATAATTATCCAGGAAACACGTGTTTCTGTAAATGGAAATTAAGTCAATCACGCAAATTTGTTGAATATTTTAAGACAACGACAATCCTAGTAGAAGTATCTATAATACGATTCAATTAGTTAATTATTTTTTACAAATTATAATTGTACAAATTTTTAGTTATATTATTTTGTGTAATAAAAATTAGACTTTGTAATACCGTCTTATCATATTGATTTTTTTTCATATTAATGTGGTTTCATTAATTTTTAGTATTTTTCTTAAAACGTCATGTAAGAATCAGAAGTAAAAATTAGAATAGGATAATATGTAAATATTCTTTCGTAAAATTTCTGAAAAAAATTCTAGGATTCTTTTACTAGTTAAAAAATTGTGAATTAGAAAAACTTGAAAGATGAAAATAAGATATATACCAATTTGCTATTCAAGATCGTTAATTAATAACGTATAATTACTCTGCAAAAAGACTTGTCAAACTAAGCAATATGCCACTTGCCACGTACCTGGACTGTAAAAGAAAGTGATTTGGAAGCAGGGCCTCTCGTTCATTATCAAATCTAGGTGCATTACTAAAATATTTTACTATTTTATCCTTAATATTTTTCTAATTTTCAAAATATCTTTTTCAAAACAAAATTTCTTTTAACTTAATTCTCATCACTCTATATTCGTTCTTTTTTTCTTTTTTAACAAAGATAATTTAAGTTTTTGCAAAACTATTGAATTAAGGTGTTTTAGCTATTCCACGAATATGACTATTTATCAACATTTTTTTTATCAAATACAACAATTGTTTATCAGTCGTTTTACCATTTCTATCCAAACATGTTTAGTTATAAGATCGACTTCATCACTTAAAAAATGATTTTCAACATTTAATAATATAAGAGATCATCTTTGCCATTTTTGTTTTATAGAAAGATATAATTCTTTGTGATAAAGTTTAAAAACATAGAACCCAGGGATTTAATATAATATCACAATTACCAATTTTATTTTTTTTCAAATTACAAATATAATGAGCATTCTGGTTTTACAATATTATTACAAATAGATACTAATAAATTGCACAATTAAGCACACAAAAAGCCATTCTCTACTAACAGCTCCCTTCGCCGTTTTCGTCCTTGTTATCAGCATACTTTTGAAGATTTTCACCATGCAACTTTCCATACCTGAATTCATCAAAAATTTCAACTCCCATATTTATGTAAAAATCATATGACTTCTTATTCCAAACTGCCACTATTCCCTCTACCGATACGAACCCATTGTTGGCAGCAATAGACGCAACTGTTCCAAACAACAAACTCCCCATTCCCAACTTTCTATAACTCTCCCTGAAGTAAAGACTCTCAAAATAAAATCCAGGCTTGTCATAGAAGCACGAATAATTCGCGTAAAAGAAAGCATATCCCGCGATGTAAACATCACTCTTATCGTTCCCATCATCATATTTGGATCTGAATTCCTCAACTTGTCCTTCCACCACAGGGAATTTAAGGTCGAAGGTTTTAAGGACAGGCTTGAGCCCTTCATTTGTGGTATTTTTGGGTTCGTTAAAAGGGGTTGGAGAGACTTCAAGTAGAAGTACGGATGGCCCGTAGAAAAGTGGAAGAGGATTTTCTTTAAAGAGCAAGTTAGCTAAGGAGGACTCGGTAGCTTTGTATAAATGAGTATAGTTATGGTATTCATGGATTTGGTAAAACAATTGGTATATATGAGACAGATCAGATTTCGTAGCCAGACGGACTCTTGTGTATATCTTTCCAGTGATGGTAACGTTGTTGTTTTCCGATGAAGCATCGGTGGTTATTGTTTCAGATGGTGTAGGAAGTTGAGGAGCAGGAGCCATGGGATGTTGTTTAGTTAAGTTTGAGAAGAATGAGGTTTTAGATAAAAGAAATGTTGAAAGGTTTAGTAATGGGATAATATGGTGTTTGGGATCATATATAATGGTTATTTATAGTGGAGAATTTGGTCCTTTGTTAAAAAAAAAACATTATTTCGTTAGTGAGGTTGGTGGAGTTGGTGCAAGTGGGAGTGGGTGCAAGAGATGTTATAGGTAGGGACCATGCAAAAAAAAATATAGCAAAAAAGTCGAAAATGTTAAAATTGTAGGAACAAATTGACAATTCTTAACATAAAAAATTTTGACTTTGTATGAACAAAGACTTTCACCAACTACTTATCATACAAATGTTAACATCTACGAAGAACCGATGATCCTTCCAAAATCAAATGTTGACAATTTCAGCAATATGGCCAATAGAAAATTTATGAGGTGTGAAAATCAAATGAAGTCGTCAACATTGTCTAGCTCTATAATGCTTACCGAGATGCATGAAAGCTAAACAAGGATAATATTCATTCACACCAACCCAGACCGTCGTGATTGGCACCCACACTAATCCTCCGGTGGAAGAACCATTACTACAACCCAACTAAGCAGCCTTGACCCAAAATACTACACATTTAAAGATACGGAAGCAGGTTTGAAT